AGGCAGCCCAAGCCATATACCCAGTATCACCAGGCATAAGTCGAAGAGCTTTAGCTGAATGATATGCAGCCTAATCATCGGTGCTAGCCCCAGTGTTTAGGTACTGAATGTAAGCTATTTCAGTGCAATGACCTTCAAGGAACTTATTATACTTGTTACTCTGCAAGAATGTTAGCATCAAGATAGTGCTATAGTGATGAATTAACCTAGAAACCTACACGCCGTTCCTTTTTCTTTCCTGTGATGCTATGTAACTAATGGTGGTTCTGCTCTATGTTTTTAAAGGCATTAACAAGCCTAAGAAGGGCGACTAAAAAGTCCTCAAAAAGGCTCGGATCCCAGGTATACTGGGGATTGAAGAACCCAGTATACTATTTAATAACAGCAGACAGGTCAAGGGCATTCCCAGCCATACTAGGCGCGGCCTAAGAAACAGCTATTAACACTAAAGTAATATATAAAACTAACGCAATGTACAGGTTCATAGAGTGAATAGCGGGCATTACACTGGATACACTTTGTAGAAGTGCTGTCCGCAAGCTTGCAATTAACTTTAAAAGGAAGACCCCCTTGGGGGTTAAAGTTCTTTAATGCAGTGTAGAGGCAGCACATACACTAGTACTTTCTATAAATAATAGTGTTGGCCATAACAAAACCCAAAAGCAAGAAATATAAAGAAGAAGCAAAACGCAGCAGAAATAAAAGAGAGATTATAAGGTTTAAAAGAACTTAAATCTTAAGTATTAATAAATGAAAAGGAACTGTAACACCAAAGAAAACACTGTGATATAAAAGAGAAGCATTAATATGCAAAGTTAAAAGAAGAGAAAACATAAACAAAGATATAATCAAGATAAATGTACTATAGTCATCGCCCATGACAACATTGTTTACTACTATACTATAGTATATAACAACAAAGAACATAACAAATTTTGAAATACACAAAGCCAACATAATAGAAGCATTACATCTGCCCTATAATCAGTTATCTCTATTGATAATATTATGTTGCATCAACTATCGTGATATTGTTTACTTCTTTAGGAAAATTTGAGGTTATACAACTCCGACTAAGGACAGTCATTATAACCGGAGGGGGTATAATTATAGAGGCTTAGCTATAGCCCAGCCACTCAATTATGCAGCCACCCCTTGCTTCCTAATTGTTTTCAACCTCCTGTTTCACACCTTGAGCCGCTTTCAAATCATCGCTGAATGCATCTAGGATAGACAGTAAAGATAAATAGTATCCCCTTGTCTGGTATTCGAGAAGATAAGGATTAGTTTTATTCTCATACAATCTACTATTCTTTACTGATATTCCTCCTTACTATCGTCACCAATTCTTACCTAGTCAACGGGCAATCTACCCTGTCACGTAGATCCTTACAGCCCCATACATGTCTCGTCGATATCGAGGGATCCTAGCCCCTTTTTATACTTCTACCTGAGCTATGAAGGAATGGAAGGGTCTACATGGTTACGTACATATCGATGACATCTACCGAATATCCCTTGCACACTCTCATAGGCTAAATCGAAATCATATATACCGGTTGATATCACACTATAATAAGCTAGATTAAGAGGATTTTCTTATAATAGATTAGACTACTATTAACTAACCTATTAATCTATTTAATAAAGAGTATAGAACTTAGTAAGACTTAATCCTAATAAGGAGTAGCCCTATAAAATTTCTAAGATACCTAGATTTAAATCCCTATAAGATAATAATAAAGTAGACTAGTACACTATATAGCTATAAAAGCTAGATTAAATATAGTTAGTAGAACTAGAAGTATACTAACTAAATATAAGAATCCTTAAGAAAGTTAAGTAAGAAGTAAAAAAATATATATATTAAAATTTAGAATATTAGACTTAAGTTAAATCTTAGGAATAACATATAATACATTATAATAAGTATATAGTATATTACCTAAAGTATAGGTAGTATAGTATACTCTTTATATAAAAGAAAGATAGCAGTCTATAACTCTATATAGACTATAGACCACTAAATATAATTATAATTAAGGATTAATATCTACTTCTATTAATTTATAATATCTAAGATTAAATTTAAGGAGTAAAATAGTTTATAAAGTTAGATATTATAGATATATATAATTATATTTATATTATAGAAGGGGAAGAATGGAAAATAGCTTTTAGAATAAAATTTAGATATTTTAAATACTTAGTTATACTTTATCTATCTTAAGATTATATACTTCTAGAATAGTATCCAGGCCTTCTATAGTATACCCTATCCTAGGCAGTAGACTATCTAAAATAGGGTGTTTAGATTATATAGGGGCTCTAGAAGCACTACTTAACTATACTAAGTATATAGATTTAGGCTATATACTCTATACTAGTAAGATATTAGTAGTATATAGCAGTTACTATTAGCTTAAGTAAACCATTCAGCCACATCTCATTAGGTAGTATTATTTATGGAGGCCTAGATAGTAAGGTATTTTATATTAATAGTATCTAGAAATATTTTAACTAGCTATATAACTATAAGCTAATAGGTAAAGAGTAAAAAATATAGTACTAGTATATCTTTAGTAGTAAAGAGACCTTCCTAATAAAAGATATATAGTAGATAGTATAACTTTACTATATTTATTATAAGATAATATACCTCCTCTAGCTAGTTTATTAGTATTATATTTTAGGCCCCTTCACTTATCTACTACTAGAAATTAGAGAAGCTATAATTACTATATTTAATATTCTTATTAATAGCTATTATTATTATATTAGATTTATTAATAGCTTACTAGTAGTAGTCATCAAGCATTATACTAAAGGATAAGTAGTAGATCGATGCATAGCGCATCAACCTAAGAAAATCAATTAGTAGGGATCGGAGTAGTGCGAGAGTGGATATACCCATAGCTATCGCCTGCCTAAAGCTCTCGTCACAACAATGGCATCTTCAATTGTTTGTGGAAGGCACCTGTGCGCGAGCGCTCCAGGAGAGGGTTGTACGCCTCCCCATACATAGCTTAAGGCAACATAATCGCAATCTTGTGGACAAGGAATCACGGTACGCTCGACAACGTCAACCATCTGAGTCGTGAGTAGTTCCGGCGGCTTCTCGGCGTGACAGCGGTTGTGCGTATGTAGGCAGTGGTTGAGGGCCTGTAGAAGTATGGACAAATCGAGGCTGTTTTCGAGTGGTCTGGGACTGCATGCCGTTCGATCGGGTGCCGCAAACCGAGATTCTAAGGCAATGGCAGGCCCAGTCTTGTACGGGGCTAGTACCTGAGGAGAGCCGGAGATGTAGAATTGGTAACTTTCCATAATGGCACTATTAGCAGCACTGGTAGCGAGGCCCAGTATGATCGCATGTTGGTTTTTGAAATCTTCTGGCCTGCGCAAAATCCTTATAATATCGCGGATCACTTTCGGGTTGCCAGGGATCTAAAGGTTGGAAATTCATGAACAGGTCGAAAATAGTGTAACTAGAGCACCGAGCGCACAAGGAACTAGGCTGTTCCTGGAGTGCACTAATTTGCTGAGCATCTCGAGGTGAGAGTCCTGAAGCTGGCCTGGCTGAGTCGACAAGGCTGCCAGGGATTTCCTGTGACCTTCCCTGGTTTGACGGGCAAGGTTCATTCATACGTTCAAGGGTGCGACAGTAGATACACAGTCTATACAAGGATTCTGGGAGGGACATCGTTCGGAGCATTGCTAGTAAGAGCTTTGAATGAGTGTGCCTTGCAGGGACGCGAGGCTATTTGGACCATCAAGTTCTGTCGAAAAAGGTCCAAGGCGCGGCTTATGACAGGTTCACAGCCTCAACAGCCAAAGTCAGCGGATGTGTGTTAACATGCATCAACAACTTCCCTCAACCAACCATCAGAAATGAGGCAAAGGATTCACTAAGCTGCGCGAATGGCTTATGATCCGAGTAATGCCGAAGAACAACAAATGCCAACAGACATCTAAAACCAGGCGCCTCATTTGCATGATACATATCGAATCCGGCCACATCATTACTAGGCAGCTGACGGTTGCGAGGCTGAACGGAGAGCTATATAATTTGCAGCCTCTCTGTCTTTCTACCTTCTATTCTTACCATATACCTCAAGCGAAGATTCTAAAGAACTTTGTTTTACTCAAGTCTCTATTCCACTATCACTAGTGTCTACCGAATATTTTCTCGCTAAGAGAAACGTTGTTTGCAAAAAGCGCTTTTCTCGACTGCCCCGCCTCAGCGCCCTTGAGTCGCGTCTTGTTCTAGACCATTGCTCTCTGTCAGAAGAAATATAGTAGGTGACACAGCGCGCAGAACTCAGTGAATGGAAATGTATAAGTTAATCCTAGTAGCTTCAATCAGGACTAGCTTATATCATCCGACATTGTAAAAAAACATGTGTCGGCAGATATATACCTACCCGGCATTCAGTTGCGGCTGCCTCAAAAACCCTAACAACCCGACTATATCGTGGGATTGCTCCCATAATAAGGGAAAATACTGCGGTAACACAGTGACGGAATCGAACAAGGTTTTGGACAGGGTAAAGTCTTGCAAAGGCAAAAAGTGCAAGGCAGAAAGTGCAAGGCCAAAAAAGGAAAAAAGTAAAAAAGGAAAAAAGTAAATCATGAGCGACTACGGCACGAGCCTAATGTCAACTTTCCTAGGTTCAATTAGTTGGTAAATACTTCTCTGATTTTCTCTATAATTCTACCCATAAAGTACAGATAACTTCCATAACGTAATGATAAGGGTATAATACAAATAAGCAGTTTAGCATAGTACAAATGCGCTCTTTAGCCCAATCCTATACTCAGACAGGCAAATATTCAAATGTCAACCCACTCATTCATGGGAGTTCTACAAGGAGTGTCTAATTTTACTAGTCTCTAGAGAGTTAGGAAATGAACGTAACTATTCCAGTCTTGCCCCAGATTAAAATAGGGTACAATACATGCTCTGCATTTAACTTCAGCTGTTAGTGTCTGAATGAACACTGCTATGGCAACTCCTGAGGAGAATTGCCTTCTCCAGCCCCTTCATACTCTTTCCTCTTCGCCTGCGAATAGGCCTCCCGACTCTGGTTCACAAGTCTCCGTCTCTCCGCAGCCTCCTCCTCACTTGGTTTTGTCGGCAGGATTCCTGGTGCTGGATGGAATAGTGCTTCTTGACTTGTAACCTTTGTGCCGTCCACACCATAGAAGTCCTCTTTTTGGGCCTGATCAAAGGGCATAACGTCGAGAATATTCTTAATCTGTTCGGGGTCGAGGCCGCGCGCATCAACAACCTCGTAGTCGCCTGAGATGGTACGCAATACACCATCCTTGCCGAGGTGGGTAAAACCCTTGCCGGAGGGATCGCGCTTCATGTATTTCACGAAGTCAGGTAGTTTCTGGACATCATCATGTTAGCTCGGTATACTGAGCTACTGGGCTTGGCCGAGATGTCAGATGGCTGAGAACTCCATGTATCGCAGTGCATGCGTCTCTCTCAGACTATTGCTTACCCTGCAGCTCATATTGGAATCAGTATCAGTAGGTTTTGATGAGCGGCATATCTCAACAGACGACAAATGACATTAATTATATTAGTCTCAAGGACCCTCGCCAAGTGAGGGGTTGAGAGCCGCTCCGAGGCCCACTTCTTTAGGCAAATTGGGTTGGTTCTGATATTCAAGGATCGATCTCCGGAGTCCGGAGTAGTACTTTGACACAAACTTGTTTTCACCGAAGGGCAAAATATAGATGACCACGTACATGGAAGCTTCACCAAGCATTGACTCGGAAATGCGAAATAGACATAATTCAGTTTGGACATAGATTACTCTTATACTCTTCCTATCTCTCTGTATCCATTCAAACTGGTGACAGATAGTACAACCGCGCTGTTCTTGCAAGAGGTCATTAATAGCCTCTGTACCAGGCCATTCCATAGGAAGATCATGAGTTTCTCAAATCCATGGGAAGGCATATTCCAGGAAAATAGAGATATCGTGAGGTATTTCTAATGTAGGAATACTGTGAAAGATCCATGTATTAGAGGTTGTTTCTAGGTAATATAAAACTAAGGCTGATTAGTAACTCAGGTCTGCTGGTCAGAAAGAATCGCAAATGTGTAGACTTAAATTCTTACACCTAAGGCAAGAGCCGCAAAAGAACCTTAATGTCATAGTCATCATTGTCTGCCTCGGGTTAGCACTCATCTAATATATTATTTACGATAACAGTGTCTCCTGGATCCAGATTGATAAGGGGATAAAGTATAAGTTTGTTGAATTATCACGCAGGCACCTTTCCTGAATATATAAGGATCAGCCTTAACTACTTTCTATATCTCTGGTCCTACCTCAGGAATAGTGGTTGCCAACTATTATGCAGGGGTTGAAAACAGCCATTTAGTGTTATCTCTGCCCTCTTCACCGCGTCTGAAAAAGAAGCTGGCTTACGCGTACCAAAGCGGGATTCTAGTATAATGACAAATGGGGAGGCACCTTTCTAATTAAAAACAGCGTTACGATACAGTATATAACAGGCAACCTTAGTGCTTCCCTGCCGTAGACAATAACTGAGCGGCCATTCCAACGGAGCGACAGATAGATAGAGATCACTGTAGTCAGTCTGAGCGTCAACTACCATATTAGCCTGTCTCTGTTTGCTTAGAAGCCTGCACCTTGATGGTTGCTGCAAGCTTTTATATTTATAAATTATGTTCTACTAATCGTATGTAAAATTCTGTTTTAAAAAATTTTGGATATTGTTTCGCGACCGATCGTAAATCTGCTAAAGGTATCACGAGTTGGTTCTAACGAAGGTATAATGAATGGTGGAAACCGAAATGGATGAGCAGTAAAATTATATCAACAACTATCCTTCTACTAGACTACTTCGTCGTCGAGCAGCCAAACTGCAAGCCTCTGTCACCCAAAGTATTAAGACAACAACCAGAACAACAGAAATGCCAAGAACAACAGCTACCTTCCAAAAGATTGTGACATCCCCCACCTTCGAAGATTTGGCGCCTTTATCCACTCCTAAATTCATGATTGACGAAGTCAATGTAACAGGAGAAACCAGCCATGCCCACAGTGCCAAGATTAAAACCAGCTTATTCCTACTATCAGACCGTTCTTTCTCAAAGTCAGCGCAAATAGACCGCAGGAACGCCTTATTCCTTTTTATCCGGCTTTCCAAAAGGTCAATAGCCTTCTGAAGGTGTTGTAAGTCTTTAATCAGAGAAGTGAAGTGGCCATCGCAATTCAGAGCTTGACAATTAATCAGACTCTCACCGACGAGGTAGTGGTAAGGTCCCGTATCAATTTGAATACCGTGCAGGCTAATCAGATCAGCTTGTACCTTCTCAGCAAGACTGCCAATTGGGTTAGGAGTTAAAGGATCCAGAAAGGAAAACGTTTGTCTTCTCTTGACGACTTGTTCATGGTAGAATGCCTCCATCCATGAGAGCTGCAAGTTTCTACTTTCCAACTCAGTTACCCAAAAGCAACTCACCAACCGTAGTAGATCAATGAATAGTGTATTGGGCGATTGGGTTACTTCGTCGAGATCCGCCTTGTTCTTGAACTTTGTTTTGAGGATATGACAATATATGTCTTTTATTGACTGATTGTACTTCGGTTCTCTTTGCGATCGTCCTTCCCATACTTCAGTAAGGCGCAGAATATCCATGTTGATCTTCTCATGATGTCGTGGTCGGTGTAGGAAATTTCTGAAAATGTATGAATAGCCTTGCTTAGACACGGGCACTCGGCTGCTCTGGTTTTGTATCGCGATAACTCCTACGGATATTACCAACTCAAGACCATCAATCTCATGTATATTCAGTCGACTCACCTATCCATGGGTCAGTGATCTCCTGGTTCTCGTCCTCAGCACGCTGAGGAGATTTCCAGTTTCGCCATATGGTGAGATTGCTCCGCACGCGGACAGACTGGCCACTACCAGGGGGTCCAGGCCTAGCCTCTTGGGCAATAGGATACATCTTGGACAGTGGTCTCCTATCCTTTAGGTCTCGGTTCGAATCACCATAGAACTTTCGTTCCCTATGCGCAATGAATCGAAAAGAGGCATGCTGTAGTTCCTGAGCAGCACTTGGAAGTGGCCAAAGTTGCTCCAGCAAGCTGTCGTCTCTGTATGGAATTCTGGGTTCCCCAGCACCGATGTATAGCTTTCCTGACCCAAACCAAGAAGGCCCCACCAGGAAGTCGGCCCAGAACTGGGGATCAATATTCAATTTTCCTCCAATTTCTGCAATCATATTTGGAGTCGGATCCTCTAGAATAATGAGCTTATCCCATTCATCGTTTATCCAGCTCAGCAGGTTTTCCAATCTGAGGAATTTCTCCATGTGATAACCCCAATCCGATTGCCCCCTTTTAAATTTGAGGACCGTCATTGGGAATGACCTTCTCCGAAGGTATATGTCGTCATGTAAATAGACATCGAGATATGATAATCCCGGCCATTGTCCTGCTAATCGAGAAACATATGTTCGGTAAGCATTTGCCTGCCCACTGAAATTTGTACGATGTGCAGGGAAGAGGCATTTTTGTGATTCTGGTTCTTGATATCGTTGCTCGTTCTTCATTTCAACGTCGCTCTTTGTCTCTTTCCACAAACTGGCGTCTTGGCCGAGATGTAGATAGCTTGATAGATGGTTTAAGGACCATTGGCTTTGATTGCAGTGCGTTGGCTAACACATTTTATATTTTCCGCTGCTAGAATCTGGGCGTTGGATTATTTTCGCCACCTCGAGTCAAGCCTACTCAGACATGTTCCATGGTCTAAAGGACTTTAACGTCACTGCAATACTTCCGTGGTTACGCTTCTATGTTCTACTTTAGGGATTGTACGAAAACGGAGGTGAAATTCTCGTGAGCAACATAGTGATCTTTAACTTAGAGGGAACCATTCTACGTCATTACCCATATCAACAAAATAAAGAAAGCGTTCTGAAGCGCAAAGGCCACAGAGCCAGCTAAAAGTAGGAGTCATCTCAGCCTTGAACATCAGCTCCGTGTCAATGAACGTTTATGAAATGCTATGACGGGCCTAAACATAACTGAAGGTGGCTAGAAGATTCATGAGCTGAAAACGGCACGGTAAGCCCATACAGACACGTCATGGTTTGGTCTACGTCGCTGATGGACAGAACATTCTTAAGCTAGAACCGAATGAGGAATATCTGAAGAGTGGCTAGAACATTCATGAGCTGAAAACGGCACGGTAAGCCCATACAGACACGTCAATGGTGGTGTACGTCACCAATGGACAGACCATTCTTAAGCTGAAAACAGTGACTGGAGGATGTTGGAACGTTCATAAGCTGAAGCCTCGCATTTGAGATTTTGTGTCTACCCACAAGAAGTAGTCGACAATTTGGACATGCTTAATCTAAGTCCTACCTCATAAAGTGTCGTTAATCTACCAGCATAATGACATGGAAACTGAAGGGAAAGTCTCAGTTTGTCAATGTGGAGCCACATCAGGGAACTGAAATAAAGAAAATACTTGGTCATATTATAAGCAACCCATACTCTCCAACTGACTACTGCATTTCAACGGATCATCATCCATACCTTCCGGACTTGCAGAGGGCAGTGACAGAGCTTTTGCAAAAAGGAATCGAAAGCGGATGGAAAAGCTATGGACGGGCTATCAGGGTACTCCAAAATTCGGTTACCGAGAGAGAATTTCAGGATAGTCTCCGTGAAAGCTTGACCAAATGCCTCGGAAGCGATAATGCTGCTTGTCGGAGTACGATCACAATCAAACGGATTGAAGGTATAATAACAAAGGTGCTCCACAAATACCTTCAAATAATTGTGACGAGCCTTCTGGGTGTGATCGACACATTGAATCGAGACGTCCGTCACCTACTCGATCTTCCTGCTCAACCTAGGCAACGGGCAAAAGCTATATCCGAATTTAAAAGAATTGTTTTGCAGGGTGTTCGTACAAAATTGATGAACCTTGAAGCCACAATTAGCAGAAAGTTACTTCATCATGCAATGCAGACCTTCCCGCAGAATAACCCAAATATGTCAGATTTTGATGAGGTAATTCCAATGCCGAACTGTGCGATCAGAGCTATTTTAGAAGAGTTACCATCTCCGAGTCTCGATAGGGCAGCCTTCGAACAATACGTAAGGGATCGGCTAGGAAATGTCATGGAGGATTTTCGAACAATGCTTCCTGAATACATTAACTATGCAGTTACGGTGAACCGACCAACAGATGGGGATAGACGCTTGGACCCAGGAATCCAGCGGGTCAACGATCGCCTACAATTAGCTTTGGAAAGAACGTTCCAGGAGCAGGGTTGGGACAATCATACTTTTGTCCGCTCGGTCCAGAGTGAGATGAATACTATCCTGTTGCATGAGATGCAACAAGCCACATATGCGGGCAGAAGGCCAAGATTGTCCGACGCTTTGGAAGAGCTGAGAAGGGAAACCAGGAAAAAGATTGAGGACATAGTCAATCAACATTTCCTAGAGGGTCGTACTGAAAGAGACCGCATAAGGGTCAAGATCCTTATGCGCATTTTCACTGAATTGGAGCTGGGGAAATTAACTGAAGAAACACAGCGGAGGATCTGCATAGCAACTCAGGTGCTGAAAGCAGAGAATTTTCTAACTACCGACCAAGCCGAGTTTCTCGAAAGGGAAAATACTCAGAAAAAGATCGTTATTATTCGAAAAGTGGGACAATATCCAGAAATATTCAGCTCATGGAAGAGTGAAAATTATCATAAGGAAAAGTTGAAAAAACTTCTATACAAATGTGATGCAGCATACTTGGTCACCTCAACATACTCCTACCTTGACGTTGATGAGGGAAGCCCTCCGTTCCATGAGTCCTCTGGTTTGAATATTTGTGGTATGGCAGCTGCACATGATGTTCCGTCTATTAGTACAGGTTACCCAGGCGGCCTTCTAGAGTGTGGCTTTGAGAAGTTTGTCGCACATGACGAAGTACTCTTCGGGATGGTAATACACAAAATTACCCTAGGTCCCACCAAGGGTGCATACTCGCGCACACGGAGGTTGATATCCCATGCCGTCTCATGGCGTCCACACCTTGATAGGGCGCAAATTCTGCATGAGGCTCACAGCATACGTCCTGTTGCCCGGGCATTTTAGGGAATGATTGAGATTTGGTGTCAGCCGCCAGCACCTGCGGGATTCTGGAAGACAGACTCACTATCAATTTTAGTCTGTAAGAACCCTGGTTATTGAATGTGTTTCAAGGGCTGTTTCGCGAACGCTGTGCCAGTATGATTCTACCCTCCCTTCGTACGAATATCCATCACCTGATTGAGATAATAAAAATGCTAATATCGGTGATCCAGCTCGGTGAGGTTGCCATAATCGTGAGCAGTGGCAAACCCTCCCTCTCGCTAAACCAACACTCCTTAAAGACGCCGCTACGTTTAAAGATGAAGAATGGGTCCGTTCGCAGGATATCACCAGCAATACATTCAACAGCTGTGATGGTCTCATCTAGGCTGCGGCAAGAATAGCAATGAGTCAAAAGACCACAGAAAACCAAAACCAAAACCACAAACTTGTGGGTTCGGTTTCTATTTGCTAACCGCAACCGCAATGCAGGTAGTATCAGGTTTTAAAACTATGATGTATTTTTGTTAACTAGTACTCTTTTCACAAGGTCCTAAGATACTATTTCTCCCTCGCAATATCTAAAAACATAACCCATCGAAAATACATATTTAATTTTTGGCACCTACAGCTTTGAGAAAACTAAGAACCATTCTGCTTCTATTTGTTCTTGCAAGGGCTGTTACCATGAAATTACCAGCCCGCAGGCAATAAACCCTGAAGACAGCGACTATCGAGAGTATATGGGATAATTCTAGAAACGGATTATAGATGCCATAGATTGACCCAAAACCCATTGGTTGGATTAGACCCCATGCGGATCAACCCAAACCCAACCCACGACCAGTCTGGTCTATACTATAAGGACCCTGGATACCCTATAGATCCTGCCTGTGCTATAGGCATAGTAGGGTGGTAGTGGTAGATGCGTACCTACCACTATGGAAGAGCTGGAAATGCAGCACTAATATAACCATATTCATATCCTCATCTGTTAGGGGATGGACTGGGTCCTTAACCAGGCCTGTGTGATGCTAGAGTGGACCTATATATTAATCTAGGAGGACTTTGGCTGCTGAATGCCTGGTTAGTATATATAGAAATAACCCTAAGGATAGCTGCAGCTAGAGATGGAGTAGTAGTATATATAGTACTATAAATAGTTCCTGTGCTTCCTTATATGGGCTATTTCCTTCTTATATATGGATTAGAAGCATCTGCTAGGGGTCTATCTAGATAGGAAGTAGGAGTATATAATTGGAATCCTATAGCAGACTCTAAACTCCTATCTGGAATGCCCTAACCTTAATATCTAGATAGATAAAGATAATCCCTTGTAAGCCTAGCTTAGCTCCACAGCTGGCCACAATAGCTAGCTACTTGACTGAACACTGCAATCAAACTGGGACCACTGTGCAAATCCTGTAAGGCCATGATAACTCAACGTAAGGTGGCATAGTGGTATACTAAGCATCCCTGCTCTATGCACCCACGTTCCACCTTCAGCGCTCCTGATATGGTGGCATATGCACCAGTTCCAGCGCCAAAGGGACTGCCCACAAGGCCCTTTGATGCTGGAACTGGTTCCGTTCCCTTGCGCTGTGTTTCTGGCAGTAGCTTAACTGCTTTACGTGCGTCTCCCGCACCTGGGCGTTCCTGGGCAGCCATGACTATCAGTTTGAGGAGGTCGTGGATCGACGCGGCCAGCTGGTCGTGACCTTCCCGGTGGGTGCTTTGGTGAATTATTAACGATGATCACCAGGGCATCATACTTTCTGGGCGGCTTCAGTACTCCGCAGTGTTTTGTCGTGAGCAAGAAATACTGATCGGATATCATGTGGAGAATACGGTTGTGTTCCCCAGACTTTCTTCTCAGGAATTGCGGGGTTTTCTTTGTTGTGTCAAGTCTAGACTCATAGTGACTGATTATTACAAGTCAATCCCCACTATTTGATGTGGGGGAAAAGTCAAAGTTCGGCAGAGGTGAGTAATCCCAAGAGTAGGTATACCCTTGATATATGGTAATAATATGCTTTCTCATCGTCCCACCCATCGCTCTCCGCGTTCGGAGCTGCGTTAGGCGCCATGATCACACTACAGTCACAGCCAGATTTGGTGCCAGAAGGCAACTTGGTGCATCGAAGCCTGTATCAGTGCGGAACATGCTCTCAGTCTTACTCGCGGATCGACCATCTGCGCCGCCATGTTCTTTCGCGTAGGTCACTGCGGCTTCCAGTTGACTTCGCTATTGTCAGTTGGTTTCGCTGACAGTCTATTGCAGACACCCAGGAAAAGCCTCACCAATGCTCTGTGTGTAGTAAGCGTTTTGGCAGAAGGTGCTGTTCCCCTCGCCATCGTACCTTATCGCTCCAATTAATGGTGACTCTAGTGATCTGCTGCGACGGCATTCTGCTCTGCATATGATCACAGGGAGCAAGCAGGCCCTCAAGAAGCGTCCTCGCACTGGCAGCGCGAATCCCATCATCCGGGCTTCTGAAGCATGCAGTGCGTGTGCAGAAGATCACCTTAAATGCGATGAAGAAAAGCCCTGCGCCCGATGCCGCAGGCGAAATATTGCGTGTGTGGTTCCTTCCAAGTCCACTGAAGGCGTTCAAGTTCGCTTTGCCAACCCGGACAGTCCGGGTGGTGCGGAAGTAAACAGCAACCATAACTCAGAGAGAAGGGGAGGAGAAACAAATACACTACCATCTGCGGGATCCCAGTCACTCATCACTCCTCCAATGGAGATCCCAGCCTCACAAGAGTCGGACCCTTCGCAGTCGATCAACTTGGATAGAAACAGCCATATGCCACCGGATTACGTTCCACCAGGGCTCAGGGTGAGTTCACAAGTGTATTGTTTACAGACGCGTCCAGTGGGGTACGGACACGTCGGGGATCGATCACCTTTGGCCTGCAGACCGATCTCGACCTCAGTGTGGTTGATCTCGGCTTCCTCGAATCATACAATAGCCACGTCCCGTTCGAGTTCGACGAGCAAGCACCAAGTCTGTCCCTGTCTGGTTCGCCCTACGAGACCCGCGAAACACCGATACAGAGCAATCCCCGAGGCGCACGGTCTATGCAGCGACTGCGATGGCGCTTCGTTCCGGCTCCTCAAGATCATGGCTATTGCGAACACGAAAACCTGTTACTACCCAATGAAGCGACTGGCGCATCCACCCTGACTCCCCAGAGTCTAGAAGACGTAAACAACCAATCGACAACGGACCAGAGTCTCGATCTTCACTCTCGTGATAAGATCCTGGGCATTGTTCTCAGCCAGATTAAACAGCCTATCTCGGCGGTTCTGTCATCCTTTCCGTCGGTCCAGCTTCTCGACAGCTTGATCCGATATTACCTGACCGCCCCATTCTCTACCGCAAGCTCTTGGATCCATCGGGGCACCTTTTGCCCCCAACAGGTGTGTCCAGAGCTGCTTCTCGCCATGGAAGCAGCTGGGGCCGTCTTGACACCGGATCCATCGCTACGCAAACTAGGATTTGCCATGCAGGAAGTCGTCCGGTTGCAGCTGCCTTCGGTGTTTGAGGGGAACAACACTACCATCCGTGACCTTCACCTACATCAAGCATACTTGCTATACCTAGAAATTGGTCTTTGGAGTGGCAATAGCCGAAAAATCGAGATCTCAGAGGCCTTCCGCCAACCTCTGCTGACCATGGCTCGTCGCGGCGGCAACTTTCACCACTCAGCCTATCCGCCCCTGCCAGCGCGGTTGGAAGAGTCTGGTCAGAGCTTGGAAGATACATGGCGTGCCTGGGCGTACAAAGAAGCATACAAGAGGCTTGTGTACCGCTTGTTTCGACTGGAAGCTCAAGTGTCCATGGCTCTCTTCACCGGCCCGTTGATTACCTATACCGAAATGGGCCCTCCTCTACCTGCCCCGTCGTATCTCTGGGAAGCGAATTCCGCGTCTCAATGGATGGAAACCTATCATTCATCTCCTCTGCCCTCTACAGGTCGAATTCGCACGCTCAGCGAGTGCGTGGCGAATTTAGATCTTCTGGAACCAGTCGTCGGGTTGCGGACATCCGTCTTGCCTGTGGCACCGTCATGCACTGTATATGGGGCCTCGTATGGGAGTACCGCCAGCTAAGCTCTCTTCTGAACGGATACAGCCGCTACAGGGATAATGATCTGCTCATGGCCGCTCGGCATGGACAGCTTAGCAGGATACTTGAATGTTTTCGAATGGGATACCGCGACGAAGTCCCGGTGCAGCTGCACTTTATCGTGATGCACACGTACACGTCACTGGAGGAGGTTGAGACATTGGCTACCTCGGACGATGCTAGCCGCGCCTGGGACCAACCTGCTCTTAGTGACTGGTTCAAGAGCGAACATTCCCGACACGCCATATGGCATGCGGGCCAGGTCGTTCGAGGTATCAAAGCTCTTCCGTTGCAAGCTCTACGCGATTTCATGGCGATTGCGCTATATCATGCTAGTCTAACTTTATGGGCCTACGGTGTGGTATTCTGCCATAGCATGGATAATCATGGTCAGCAGCTGGCGGGTCCAGCACTGCAGCACAAAATCTGGCTAGATGGGCTAGAGAGTGAGGATATACAGCGTTTTATCACTCTGCAACGCGGAATACCAGTCCTGCAGGGCCTTGGTCATGCAGAAGAGACAGTTTTTGTCGGTGGTCCCCAGGCAGTTCTGGAGACGATGATCAAAGTCATGCAGCAGAATCACCACCTTGAAACTTCCACACAGACCCCGCCACTGGTGGATAACTTGGTCCATCTTCTCGAGAAGTTGCGATATGCCAGCAAATAAAATCTGACGTCGGTGCAGGACTATCTGGCGGTAGAGGGATATGACAAGATGAATATGAATGTATGAATGAATCACACGCAGCAGACATATCTTGTATAAAAATTGATTACTTTCTAACCTGATATGTGAATTCAATTCATAAAGAGGGCTCAAACCGAAAAGCCTGCGTCTATTACTGCATTTACCCCCGTCATGGATTTTGAAGTAGCAAATACTCTGACTTGTTCGGCAACGTCCTATCATTTCTATGAGTCAATAGTGCTATCACTATGTATTAGGGACATACCTCCGGAGTTGCAAATCGTTTAAGCAAGTTCTGTTCTCTCACGGCATTGAGCTTCTCCTCTGGGAATTGAAGACACCAGTCCTAGTTCGGTCTGTTAGGTACCGCTCTAAAGGTCGAGCGAGTCATTCACTGTCAGCAAAACCCCTGGCGAGACCGAGTTGACTCTGATCTTCGGGGCTGCAATGATGGCCAAACTCTTGACGAGATGGATAAGAGCCGCTTTGGTCACAGCATATGGCTAGCATTGTCAGACCACCATTTACGAAACTCGTTCAAACATGAATTTAAGTGAGCATGAGTTTAAGTGATACATACCAATGAACTCCCACTAGGCTTCAACCCCGCAACACTCGCTGTAGCAATGAATAACCCCTCACTCCGCTCTAAATGCTCTTGACAAACCCGGAAGGACTGGAAATGGCTCTTGACATCTGGTCGAAAGGCTTTCCTTGCCTTGGTGGCGGACTTACACTGAGCTTGGAGGGTCCATTCCGAGTATGTGGCACAGTGGTCTGACCTATAGTTATCATGGCAGAGATGACATATGATGAGTAGGTCTGGTCGGTTCGTCACCATCTGGTTAATAGTGGAGTTCCTCTCCCTGATTGTTCAGAGCCCAGTATGTCGCCATCCCCGGAGGGAGGCTGCTGTGTAGGCCATTGGCTTGGAAGAAGGTGATCGGGTTGCTTGCCTGTTTGATGAACCGCGGTTGGATGTGGTTACCGCCCCATATTGGGTGATGGCGATTGAAGTCTCCCGCAAGGATGACATCTGTTGACTGCCAGCCGTCCCGTAGAGCTGCCGTGATCGTGTTTTGGATAGCGGTGAATACTATTCACCGACGTGTCCGCTGAAGGCTCCTGTCTACTAGTTGTGAAAAGAGGAAGCTGCTGTGATGTTGTGGTGTGTTTAGTTCTAGGTGTGTTTTCCCTAATGGTCGAATCATTTACGCAGTCCAGGTCGCTATAAAAATGGTCATATGATCTCTCTATCTCAAAATTCCATGAAAATTAAATTATGAATTTCCATGTGAGGATTCTAAGGTAGCCCCTTGATCGCCAGGTAAAAGTCATTCACTTTCCGGTTGCGGATATTAATGTATATTACGCAAACACATATTTGCCACTTCCTAGTTAAGGGTGTCACATTTGTCGGATACTAATGTAATTCCCACCTCTGTATTCCAACAAAATGGCACACATCAAGGCTTTGATATCTCAGCAACCAAGCATCGAACTATAGGGTCCAAGTTTAGGTAGGAGGTACTAGTATAGTTATGCAAAGTTATAAGCCACAGCCTCCTAGTATAATGTGAATACTCAGGTAACACAAATTATAGCTGTATTTTTGGTGATATAACTTTTCAGACATTAAGAGAGAGGAGTAGTATTTTAGGGCCTTATGAAAGAGTATTCAGATACTTTAATCTATACATAGTCTAAATATCTTACTTATATTATAGCATATATGGACGTGGTTGAGATAGGTTAGCCTTGAAGAGTGCTATTCTATATGGAATACAGAGATGTCCGGCTCGCTAGGGGTGTCTGACGTTGGGAATTACGTTATTTCTATTCTTTTAGTCATTTCGTACTACTCTACTGGGCAAGAGGATAAGCAAGTTCGGACTATTAATATAGGTGCCAGATTAGTAGGATAAGTATCTTAGGCCTCCATAGTATTTCTCCTTCAAACCCCATGATCTACCTGGTTAACTTACATATGCAAGGTTCGTATTTCCACTTTTGCCTTTGAGTACTGCTAAGGGCTGACACGCATATTGTTACGCCTTAATATATTAAAGAGCTTAGCTTTGTTTATTATTACTTGTTAAATATCCCAAAACATTCGCGTGCATGATTGTGTACAGTAAACCAATCTTGCAACAAAGGTATTCAACAAAAGCTCTTTATTAAACTTTAACAAACCGCATTGGACATCAGTTCTAACTTACCGCTAGACGAAAAAAGTTCAGTCATGGCAGATGTAAACATACACGTGCACGGTAATGTTGCAAGGATACAAGACGGCAAGTTCTCCATCAGATACTCGTCTAGAGGATCAGAGATCACTCGGTTGCATCGAAAGCTAGTGAGTGATTGGGTCCACGTACCACTCACAGTTCCTATGGTCGAGAATATGACTATTCAAAGCCTTACTATCCACCTAGCGGGTAAAGAGGCTACTGTTTCGGACTTTAAAATATGTGCAGGGAGAAAGTCCGAGGTGGGAATTGAGCATCCCCACCTTAACGATGATGGTGACTCGCAAGTCAGTTGGCACTCTTGGGATGCTAAACGAGAAGTCGAGGATCTCGTGTTCGACGATACCCAACGCCTGGAAAGTATTTTGCTCCCTTGGGATAATGAATTAGACCCCAGTCGTGGAGTCGGGGTCTCGTTCAGGGTTGCCTTGAATTGGAAATTGAAATTGAAGCCTGTGGAACCCCGGATAGTTGTTTATGGAGTAACTATCCATCTATCGTACGAACTGCCTCCGGGTCGTTAGGCGAACAGATGAAAATTTTTTTCATCGTTATCCAACAATTGCCTTATGCAGTATAAATCATCCTACATTGGCACAGTTAAAGTCAGGGTGCGGTGCATGTACCTTTGAGGGACCCGTTTCTGAGACGAGAGTGATTGTGACGAATGGATACCCGCGTACTACGAAAGGCCTCGGAGCAGTGGACAGAGCTTGGAAAATCCGGAGGGAAGTTGGGCCGTGCAAACAAGGCAATGGAAGAATCAGGGCTAGGTTATCGGAGCGCTTCTTCCCGTTCCTGAATCATTTCTTCTTTTCTCTCTAACTTCAATAGTTTTGTCTGTTGGAACTGATTGAAATTCAATTGACCCGTAACAGTAATCTCATAATCACATATAGCTTGACAGTGCTGTTTATGTTATTTACTGCTAGACGTTGCAGCTAATAAGCGTAATAATTCCATATCAAACGAAAAATCTGATAGCCAGCCTGCTCGATCAATCATCAACACTTAACCCCCTTCTCTACCTGAATTAGCTATCCCAGTCAGGATAGAAAAAAGGAGAGTTAAAAAGTTACCTACTAAATAATTAGAACAGATAAAACCCAGATAAAACCGTCAAGCATTGCCTTCGATAGGAATGCTGCCAAGAGCAGCCAACATGATGCCTACACCTGTATAGACAGTTCCAATAATGCCGGCTTCCTGTAAGTTGACGCAGGCATCAGGGTCGTTTATTGATAAACCTGTAAGTATAGCACCACAGATGGCGAAAAGCACTGAAAATACCACGGTTATATATCTCCCCAATTTCCACCCATCCTTGGCCTCAAGCCCAAAATATCCCCAGAGAACGAAAACGCATACTACAACGCCAGAAAGCAGTAGACAGGATCCTAGCACTATCTAGGACCAGATTAGCTTCTAATTTAACTCACTTTTTAGTCAAAAGTAATTTTGCTCACCGATGGAACTAGGATCATTGACCGGTTATCTAATTTGCACCAAGTGTGTTCTGGATGTTGGTGAACAGTGAAGGCAACGGCACCATCTTCCAACGTGGCGGTTGTGGTCGAGCCGTTCACAACAAGATCTATCTGTGAATGAGTCTCAGCTGCTGCTCCGATTACAAAGTAATCATAGTTTACAGAAGTCAAAGGAACCATAGTATCCTTTGTATACACTGTCGTAATATCCGTCACGGTGGAAACTGAGGTCACATATACCGTTGGTGCTGAACCCGAAGTTCTTGGAGCAGTCGATAGGGTTGGACATGGAGGGTGCCTAGAAGGGGACGCATGAGGACGGTGCAGGTCAAGGGATGATAACGTGGTGTGTGTATCCATAGCGCTGTTTGACTGATACACAGTCGCAGATAAGTAAAGACCTATGAAACCTGAACCAGTCCCTATATCGTATGAGTGCAAGAAGGATTGTACTTATTTGAGGGGCTTCTTCAGCTGTGTACAGAGTATGGCTCTTTTGTAACCTGCGACGAGCCACTTCAAAATTTCTGCAACATGATTACATTGAGATCTCGCCAAAACCTGCAAACGGGTTGAAGGTCAGGGCCCTCATCCATAACCCGTTGGTCAATTGCAATAACCTGTCGTGCATAACTCTCCGGGAAAATCTATTTTTTTTATAAAATGAGGTTGTTTATCTTAATAAGTTAATAATTTATCTTTAGGGCCGCCGCTTCAGGAAACAGCGTTCCCGAATGTGGAAATGCCGCCCTCACCACCTCATCCCTCACCGCTATATAGGCCTATCCCTCCCACCCTCATACATATCACGTCCTCTTTCTCCCCTCAATATAATGCCCATTTCCCCATCGCTCGCTGCAGCTGCTCTAAGAACTCGCATGGTGCCTCACCCCCTATTATGCCTAGCACTTTCCTCATGTATTACCTCTATTAAATAAACAAAAGATTGTTACTGCTGTTGTTGTGCTGTATAGTCTCACTTTTACAAACCCCTCTGTCTCTCTAGCCTCATCTATCTGCTTAATGAGTTTATTGCTCTCTCTACATGTCTATAAGAAGGCTATGTATATATGTATAGTCCACCCTCAGCTGGAACTAGATTACACTTAAGATCCCTTACATATTGGTAAATTTTGATTTCATGGCAAGCCTGTATACGCCTGCCTTACCGCGAGAGGCCAAGTAAAATTCTGGTAGGCTTAGAAAGGGCTATGTGAATTTAGCTGAAAGGATAATAGGGAGCCTAGATTGTTGTGACCCTCTGCATTCATCCAGAATCCATGATCTATAATGTTGACTAACTATCTTCATTGGCCAGCAGCACAAGATCATGTCTAGTAGAATGTTCCTATCTCATGATATATTGTACTGGAATCATATTTACTCCTCTGACAAGTGGAGGTAATAATACCAGGAATCTCTGTGATAGTGATAATATACATTAGCCTAACACTCCCGCCTTCCTCCGTATCATGTTGCAGATTGGTCAGGAACACAAGAAGTGGAATGGATGGGGCGTGCTGGTAGGCTTCAACTCCTTCAACTTCATGTATTTTTGTGTAATTACAGCTCTGATCCCCTAGTGCAGTCCTTTCTGCAATTTTCCCTCTTAGCTAATCAAGTAGCCTATGAACACCAGTATGGGATGACTTGCACTACATGTAAACAAAAGTTAATTCCTAAGTAGCTATAGTCTGGCTGCCCTCTCTGCTTGCATGCTCCTCTCTTATCTGTTTTCTAATATCTCTTATGTATCATTTCATTCACAACCCAATATAGATACACAGCCGGGGCTTCCATGTTTAGTGATTTAGATGACTCAGTACTCTGCCTAGCATTAATATTATTGAGGCCAGTATATAGATAAGGCTATTTTTGACCTCTAAGACTGTCTTAGGCAATCTTTAGGGCCATATCCCACCTTGCTTCCTCCTTCCATCTTCAGCAACTGGTTCAAATGTGGTGTATTCTGTTGAAAGCTGGATCCATAGTTACATAACTAACTGGCAAGGGGGAAGTACATTCAAAATTACCCGCCAATCTGCCTGGGAACATAAAGGGCGCTATCTAATTCTTTTCTGATTGTAACAATGCAAGTAATACCTTAGCACCATCAGGCGGGATTTTAATTTCATATTTCTGTGATGTTTTCCGTGGTGATTGGTCTATGAAAGATCAAGATTGCTCTACTTCCCTGGGTTTCTGCTGACGTGTGGATAGAGCTGGGGCTGACCAGCACTGTTTTCACTATAACAGCAGCCTAAACCCTCCCTTCTGCGTACATGTGAAGAATATTTCCTTAGAGCATAGCCAATTATGAAACTTGTGACCACGCGAAGGCTTAAAGACATACCCCGAACCTTCCAAATTATCCATATCGCCAGCATAAGGAGAGTTACCCCAATCACAGCTTCTATGACAGTGACCTGTTGCTGAATCCTACCCTCCGTCACGCATATCTCACTCATTGCTATTCTCATCGGCTCGCTGTTAGTCTCTTCACCAGCGCGCTCCTTGGCTTGACCTGCCATAGGCTGTTGAATCACAAGGCCACGAACGCGCTTTAAGTCTTCTTTCAGCCCTTCCTCATCAAAGTGCATTTCTGGTGTAGCGTCACCCTCTTCGTGAAGGGCGGGATTAGACAGCATGTAATAACTAACAGGAGTGTGAGGCTGGAAGCGAACACGATGTTTTGGGTTTGGCTTCCATATCAGAAATCCCTTTGTGCCGATTTCGTAGTATCGCAACGAGTAGAGGCAGCGGCCTTTGAACTCAACTTGACCCCGTGAGCTTCCTTCGCCTTTCTTCGCGTACCGATACCGCAGATCTACTGCCTCGCTATCAACCACTGTAGGTAAGCATTGGCTGGCCAAAGCTGCATTAGCTGCAGCTTTTCCTAGTCCCTTTGTTCCGACATTGGTCTCCCGGCCATGGTCCTTATTGCTCTCAATCTTGCCACCATGGACAATAGTAATTCCAACAATCCAGTATAGCTTATAATTGTTGTCCTTCCACATCTGCTCCACGCCTTCGAACCATGTCTTGCCGTAGGTCGCTAGTGCTCTGAATGCGTCTTCAACGCTGTGAAGATTAAGTGTAGTTGCTTGAGTCAGCTCAAGGTCGACATAGGTACCATGGGTGTTTTTGTGGGCAAATTGCAGCGCGTTTGTCATCTTTCCGTGCATCTGCGCTTCAGCCTTCATCTGACAATATTGCCTGAAGCTGACTGGGTCTGACTCTAACTTGTACGGTGCGATGATTTTGCCAATTGAAACTGGTATCGGTGGCCTGAAATTGTCAAGCGGAAGGTCCATATCCTTCACAAAACGGCCCAGGAGCTCTTCGAGGACGATAGCTTTGTTGCGATCCTCGAAGTGAGGAGGTTGCAGGACGAGGCTCTGGGACATTGTTGATACTGTTATGGATGGTGAACAATGTGGATCAATTTGCCACAGGAGGATTGTGACTTGGGCCTTCAGTCTCGGGCAGTTAGCTTTGAACGCTGCAGTGAAAGTGCAGTAAAACTCAGGGCTACGTCCATCACGTCTTTTTTATAGTTTTGGAGGCAAATGTAACTGGATATACAGAGGTGGCAAGGACAGAGTTACAAGACAGATTCAATGCTTCTCCCATCTTATTGGTGAATGGGGAAGGAAACCCTTCCAGTTCCGGTACATTGCCTTCTTTCTAATTCCTACAATTTAATTAGATATTTTTTTTCTTTTTTTGGTTTAACTCACTTCCTGCTGTGCCAGACAGTTTCGTGTGCGACGGAGTGTTAATGCTGGTTGTGCCCTTTGCCAGTCGATCTTTCCAGACCGTCATGCACCTACTCAATTTCGCTTATCAACATTCCCTCGAAGTATATTCCAAAATGAAGAAATCCTGCCAACAGCGCAAGATTGATTTATTCTTGTATAGGATGCAGAATTATTATTATTATTATTAAATATTTTTTTTTTTTTTTTTTTTTTTTGAGAAAATAAGCTATGGCGTTGGTCTGCTGGTTAGGGCTTTGTTTTGGAACCACAAATCATATGACTGACTGATTCAGGGGAGGTGTGATATCATATCGCATGATCGGGAGGGTTGTTGATCCTGTACCAATCCCATTTGGAGCAGGCCTTGACCATGGATACCTCAATGCTCACGACTCGTGAATCTTAAAATGTAGCGCCACCTCACCAATCAGAGGGTCCAACGGGCCTAACTAGTTGAATTGTCTCTGAAGCAGAAATATGTCTGGCATTATTGATTCATATGATCCCCACTTTCCCATGGACGGCACCAACATACTCCTCTGAGAATTGGATTCTGAAATAGCTGAGAAGATGCAATGTGACCTTTTATCTTTTGGTGAGGGAAGTCCCGAATAACTGACCGGTCTCACAACACTATCAGCGACATATCCTTGGAGAGAAATCTTGGAAAACGACTATAGCATATATCCATGGCCGACCATTTGACCTCACGCAAATCGACGAAACTTTTGCAGCTACTATTGCAAAACCTCCATTCTGGTCAGATAACGTAGTGACATCAAGTGGATGGGGATTTCAGTGGCAAATTATAGGAGAGATCTCTTCCTGTTTACACCACCGTCGTCTACTCTATATAGGGAGTCATGGGTTCAGGTCAACACCACAACCATGGCTGATCTTAATGAAACCTACACCATTTGATAGGGCTTAAAGAGAGTAATCTAAATAATGGTCCTATTACTAGAAAATATTAACGATTAGTGGAGTTAATTCACTACGAGCACGCTCTCACGGTCCCAGTGGGGACTCACCTTGCGCACCCCCCACCCCAAACAAAAAATTCCTGCACCAGCATCGGACCTGCACTGCAGCCCGAGCCATTAAGCATGGATGATATAGGTATTATTAGTTTATCTTATTATGCTGTATCTAACCATGCCAGTCCTAGGATCCTAATCTACTAGTGTAGCTGCAAACCCTGTGTGTACCTATTAGGATTACCTTATAGGTTTAGCTAGGTACGCTACTCCCTACTAAGGCTACACTACTTCTCTAGCTAGATAATCTAGGCTATCTAGAAGGCCTATGTAAGCGGACCAGAGGTTGACTGCTTAAGGGGGCTCCTAGTCAGCAAAGGGCCTTTGACTAGGCTGTGAGCCGCTGTTACAATTTGTCACGTGGTGAGCTGCCAGCGAACCTCACATGGTCCAGAGTCATAAAATTGGTCATTCGCGTCCAGCCGACATTGGAAACTACCACGTCTAACCGGCCCATTGCCTGAATGGTTTGCTGCACGAGCTGCTGAATGCCGCTTCGGTCGGCTAGATTCGCCTGGATTGCTGCATAGTGAGAGACATTTGCACCAGGTCCCTTGGCTTGATTCGAAGCTCTCATCTCCTGCAGTACTCGTTCCGCCGCAGCTGGATCGGAATTGTAATTGATAACGATGTTCATGCCCTCCTCGGCCAGGCATCGGGCAATTGCTGCGCCGACGCCTCTGGAGGCGCCGGTAATCAAAGCGACCTTTGGTGAAGTCGTAGTAGTGCAAGTTTGGCGGTTCTTAGTGAGGAGGCTGAGATGAAGGCTCAACGAGTTGGAAGAGGACTGAGACAATAGCCCCAAATAAATGACCCGAGGGTGCTCTCCCGGTACTCCCAGCAAGACCTCTCGTAGTTCTCCAGGTTTGCAGTCAGGCTGGACTCTCGGAGTTGTGGCCGACGCGTGCTCGGGAGCCGAAGGGAGATGATGGCAATGCATAACAACCCTACAGCTCTATGTACTCTAACCATGGACAGCTGAATTAATGAAATACACAACTTCTGACCTGCAATCTTTGCTCTACCATAGACGGGACTCAACAGCACAATGGCAAGACGTCACCTCAAGAGTCGCGCAGATACCGCGTCCAACTCGACAGCGCCCCAAGCCGACGTTAGCACCATTGTCAAGGGTGTGATCGACAACATTCGCGCCAATGGAGACGCAGCAGTGCGCACGTACTCGGAGAAGTTTGACAAATGGTCGCCTTCCTCGTTCAAGCTCTCCCGAGAAGATATTGAGGCATCCATTGCGGCCTGCTCTGCACAGACGATCGAGGATATTAAGCAGGTCCAGAGGAATGTGCGGGCCTTTGCACAAGCGCAACGCGACTCGATCAAAGATTTTGAGTACGAAATCCAGCCAGTAAGTCTGACTATTGGTGCCTTTTAAGCTGTACTGACAAAGGAAGGGCGTGTCTCTTGGACAGAAAAATCTGCCTATCCAGACAGTTGGAGCGTAGGCACTTCCGAAAAAGACCAAACATGCAGTCTAGACTGACAACAACAGCTACATCCCGGGCGGGCGATATCCCCTCCTTGCCTCCGCCCATATGGCCATTCTCACAGCCAAGGTCGCCGGCGTCCCCAGGGTCATTGGCTGTACTCCTCCTATCGCAGGCAAGATCCCTCACGCCACCATCGCAGCCATGCATCTCGCTGGTGCAGACGAAATCTATCTGCTTGGAGGAGTGCAAGCCATTGCGGCCATGGCACTGGGCACCGAGACCATGGCCAAGGTGGATTTCATCGCGGGGCCCGGCAACGCCTTTGTCGCCGAGGCGAAGAGGCAGTTGTTTGGCGAAATTGGGATTGATCTTTTTGCGGGACCGACGGAGATTTTTATTGTGGCTGATGAGACGGCCGATCCGTTTACGGTGGCAACGGACATTCTCTCGCAGGCTGAGCATGGGCCTGATTCGCCCGCGGTGATCATCACCACGTCCGAGGCCGTTGGCCGCGAATCGATGCGCATTATTACCGAGCTGTTGAAGAACTTGTCGACCGCTGAACTAGCGGGTACCTCGTGGGAACGGTTCGGCGAGGTAATCGTCGTTGACTCGATTGACGAAGCTTGGACACTGGCGGATGAGTATGCCAGCGAGCATGTCCAGATCCTCACCAAAGAGCCACGGGAAGCCCTCAAGAAAATGAATGCCTACGGTGCTTTATTCCTTGGAGAGAAGACTTGTGTCTCCTACGGCGATAAGGTATGCCCTTGAGTAAAGTAGGAGATATTGCAAGCTGATCGAGTTAGGTCATTGGCACCAACCACGTCCTTCCCACCAAGAAAGCCGCGAGATATACGGGAGGTCTGTGGGTGGGAAAGTATCTTCGCACTGTGACATATCAAGAAGTCACCAGCCGCAAGGCAAGCGGAGAATTGGGACGGCTGTGTGGAAGAGCAGCACGCGCTGAGAACTTCGAGGGTCATGCACGGTCTGGCGATCTTCGGGCTTACAACTATCTCGGTGATCAGTTTGAATGGATTCAGAGAGATAGGTAGAGTATAAGTAGAGTAATCTATGTCCAAACTGAATTATGTCTATTTCGCATTTCCGAGTCAATGCTTGGTGAAGCTTCCGTGTACATGATTACATGATTCTATATAGCTTAGGCTTCTGTATAGGTTGTTGACCATACTTTAATTTTCAAAATAGACTTGTATATCCTCATAACGGGGAATTGCACCAAGGACGTGGATGCCATAATTCTATAGAGACACTCATCTTCCGACACTTTGTTCACGAGAATACTATCCATAAACCTGCCGGCCCTAGGATGATCTCGAATATAAACTTAAACTCGACTCTACAAGTCAATTTGCTTGGTAGACAGATTGGGATACGATACCACTGTTTGAGAAGTATCTTTTCAACGTGTCTTTAAACAGCCGTGATGTGGCCGTATATAATTCTCTCATTAGTGGCAGCTGCTTGTTTAAGGTCCCAGAGATCTCACACTATCGTGCCTCCCCAAGGAATTCAACCAGTTAGTTTACTGACTCTGTGGGAATTTTAGATGATCACATTCTCTCTGGACTGCTAAACGATGTGATCATGCATACGTGGTGAGCTCGGACGGACGACAGCCCCTCCACCTCTTCACCCGGTGGTCCCGAAGTATCTGCTTGCCGACAAGAGTCGCGAGAGGAAGCCGAAAGGCTTACCCCACCTGGTATTGTTTTTTTAGTAATTTGAATAGAAATGATCGTTGCTCGTACAAAAGATTCTCAATTGCTGTAATCATTGCGGTGCGCTACCTAGTACCCATTGTGTTTCTTCTACTTACAGTCAATATCTCACACAATGGCAGCTATTAACGGAACAGTCGCGACAAAGCAGACAGCCAGCCCATCTCCTTTGAAGGTATTAGTAGTAGGAGGTGGAATCGGTGGGTTGACTGCTGCAATTGCTCTTCGTAAGCAAGGCCATGATGTCCAAGTGTGCTATCCGATCCGCCTGTGACAGTAAACGACGGTTGACCATTGCAGATCTTCGAGCAATCTCGGCTGGCCGTCGAAACCGGCGCAGCACTTCATCTTGCCCCTAATGCCAATGGAATCCTGAAGCGATTGGGTATCGATGCGCAGCAGTGTGGCGCGAACTTGATGGAGAGGGTACGCTTTATGCTATTGATCGAGATTTGGCAGACTAAACCTAACCCTTTAGCTTGTTGAATATACCTCTCTGGGCCGCATTGAACGAGCTATGGATCTTACCGAGCAAAACAAGAGATGGCAGCATGTGAGTACCACCCCTAAGTAGTCTTGAAGGCAGCAATTTAACCGCTTTCAGCAATGGCTCCTAGCTCACCGCATTGATTTGCATAACCAACTTAAAAGGGCAGCCATGAGCGCTGATGCGGACCGCGAGGCTATCCCATTCCGAACCGCCAGTCGGGTGGTACAGGTCGACCCAGCAACAGCCACCATCACACTTGAAGACGGAACCGAGTTCCAGGGTGATCTGGTGGTTGGAGCTGACGGAGTTCACTCCATCACTCGCAGCGCAATTCCAGGTGGAAATGTTTAGGCTTCCTGCTGCGGCAAAAGCGCCTTTCGCTTCCTTGTATCCAAGCAAGCAGCGCTGCATGATCCTGAGACTGCTGCTCTAGTCGAGCGTCTGGGAGAGCTGTCCATCTGGTACGGCGCTGATCGGCGGATTGTACTTTATCCCACGTCGCACAACGCTGTGCTGAATTTCGTGTTGATTCACCCGGAAGAGGAGTCGGCGGAAGAGGCAGACGAGAGCTGGGGCCAGTCAGGCAATCTACAGAAGATGCTCCAGATCTTCTCTTCGTTTGACCCTGCGGTGCTAAAGCTGCTGAGCATGGCGGATCCACAGAGTGTTCGGGTTTGGAAGCTGCTAGATATGGAGGAGATTCCCCGTTGGTATGAGGGGCGTTTGGCTCTGCTAGGCGACGCCGCCCACCCCTTCCTCCCACATCAAGGGCAGGGAGCAGGGGTTGCAATAGAAGATGCTGCTTGCCTGGCTGTAGTGCTGCCGCTGGGAACGTCCGTCGAGGAAATACCAGAGCGTCTTCAGTTGTACGATGAGATTCGCCATGAACGCGCTACCCGCATACAGCAATACTCTCGGTTGGCCGGTCGTGATCGTGTCGATGGACAGGAAACCGCTGACAGTAAGTGTTCCGCTTTCATTCGTCAAGAACAGCACACTGACTGCCTTAGTGTACGGCTTTACCAACTACAATTTTGGCCACGACGAGTGGGATAATTCGACGCAGAGACTCCGCGAGTGGACGTGGAAACGCATCCCCAATCCCTACTGGCGCATGCCCCTCGCCTTTGGTCCTATGCCCGGTCCGCGCCAGAACCACTTGGGCGTCCCCCGCGATGGCACCAAATCGACCTTCACGACTGCCTCAATCAAGTTCAAGACCTCACGTACTGTACTACAGAACCTCTTTCCCCCGGGCCGCCGTGGCTGGCGATTCAGCGCTCCTGATACGGTGGCATATGCCTCCTTCTCGCAGACCACCTTGAACAAGATGGAGTGGTTGGGTGGCTCAGGATATTCTCACATCGGTTTGTATGTCCATGGTGTCGAGTACGTCAAGAAGGACGGCACAGTCATTCGGGGCTCCTACCTGCCCATCCTCTTTGAGTCAATGACCGACCCCATCGTGTCGGGGAGAGAAGAACTGGGCGCTCCCAAGTTGTATACTTCGGTGGACATCTACCGCCGGGCAAAATCGTATCGGATTCGTACAGGGTGGCAGGGCGCTCTCTGGGGCCATTTCCTACTTGAAGATCTGGTCGAAGTTGACCCAGCGTCGACCCCCGGAGGATTCAGTGGAGAAGCTGATGATGGGATCATGGTTTACAAATATCTCCCACAGACCGGTCGATTGAACAAGAACAAGGCGGCTGAAGAGTACGCGGCCTTTGATCCCTTCTCGGAGGCTTTGCCCACCCCCAATCCACGCAAGGTATGGACCTCCTCCAAGGCCAGTTTCCAAATCGACCCGCTGGACTGGGAGCAACTGCCTACACTACATCATGTTATTTCGCGACTGGCAGAGCTGCCGGTATATGAGATCGTAAGCGCCAGGGTGGTGGAGGGAGACGGAGTGCCCGATGTTTCGGGAATGAGGCCAATTGAATAGATACCTATGCCGCGTTATTTTACTACCGTCATTGTAGCTGATAGGAAGAATATGTTAAATGTCTTTATGATCTCAATATTGAATTCGACATTAGATATCACAACATATTGTTTCTCAAAAAGTTGTGTTAGAAATGGATCACTGCGCGGCGTATTTGTCGAAGAACGAGTTTACGTCCTATCATAGCTGGTTTCTTTCACCTGAATGACCACTGCTCTTCTAGGATGTTGAGATAAAATGGAGTCTCTATTCTACTTCTTGACTGGCGATCATAATAGAATTCAATAGTTATCACTAGGCGCACTGGCCCAAAGCAGTTAATATACACAATGAGTTGCAGGCCACGCGTCCCTCAATATCGATCTCATTATAGCTTCGTTTTCCTCCTAATCGGGACCGCCATCTCAATCAAACTTGAGCAGAAAGGACATGACGCTACGGCTCCACTTACCCCATGTTATTTGCACGTATACAATTTCCCAACGAGGAATATTGTGGACGATGCTGATCCTACGATGAATTTGTATGCTTGGCCCCGTCAAGGAAACGGCAGAGAATCATATAAATTGGGCTTGTGTACATACAGACAAAACGTCAGCAACTCAGACTACAAGACCTCAAGAAACCTGTTCGCCTCGCAAGCTGTGCTGACAAAATGGCCATGCAGTCTCTTTTTTTGTTTGCTTTCACCTCTCTTGTGCTGGGGTCGGTTTCCATTGTTGATCCCAGCGACTTCGCCGATCTGCCCAGGGACGTCAAAGACAATGCTATCATGGCAGACTACACTACTGATAATGGAGGCCCCATGTCTTTGAGCTATAACATCACCGGTCCTTACCATTATGCTGACAAGGATGCGGAACTGGACCACAAGACCTTGGCGGTTAATGCCAACGATACGAGTGTGCTCGTTGCCACGCATGGTGCTAATGTTAATCTGTCTCATGTGGAGGTTATCAAGGAGGGATACTGCACCTGGCTCAACCAGGCGAGTTTCTTTGGCGTCAACGCGGCCATCAACGTTGCAAATTCATCCACTGCATACATCGAGAACAGCAACATTACTGTGCACAATGGTGCGGCCAATATTTTCGCCTATGGCACTGGGACAACTGTACATGTGAGCAACACGGATCTCTACAGCTCTGGGCCTGTCTCTCACGGTCTCTACGCAGCAGGAAATGGCACCATCTACGCGTCGAATGTGCGCCACTCCTCTGGCGGCAATCGCTGCTCCTCCTTTTCCGGCGACAGCCCAGCTGGCTATCTCTATGTCAGCGACTCGGTTGCTCACACGGCGGGTATTGGCAGTGCCATCTTCTACGCCCTCGGTGAGATCTACGGTACCGACGTCGTTGGACTGGCCGAGAAGGCACCTACGCTTTTCAGCGACGGAGCGCAAAAGGCGGTCTTCAAAAACGTCGATCTGACTGCTGATTTATTAGCAGGAACCGTCATGTTTTCGTCTTCGCAGAGGCGCAGCGGGGCCTCGATCTCTTTTGAGAATTCTCGGCTCACAACTCTGAAGAAGGACATGGCTGCCTTGTGGTTTGGCAACATCATTGCCACAGCCACTCTCGTAGCCACGGAGTTGAACCCAGCCTCAGGTATCCTTGTCATTGCCAATTCCTCCCAAGTGACTCAGGCATTCCAGTACTTTGCCGGCTCGGAGGAGAACTCCTCCATTCAGCCTGCTGAGGTTACTGTCTCTGTGGCGGAGTCCGCCCTGGAGGGTGACATTGTCGCATACAATGGTAGCTCAATCTCTTGGAGCCTCACGGACCACTCCAGTTGGACAGGTTCTGCCTACACTGCAGGCAAAGGAGCCGCCATTTTTGCCGTCTCTCTTGATGAGACCTCCACCTGGACTCTGACTCGGGATGTCAGTGTCCAGAACTTTACTAATGCCGATGCAAACAACGAGAACATCCGTTCCAGGGGCTATAACATCTACTACAATCCATCTGCCGCTTCCAAGGCGTGGCTCAAGTCCAAGACCGTCGGCCTGCCCGGAGGTGGACATCTCAAGCCTCGTTCTCACTAGAAATGCTATGCGGGTGCGGATGTATGTGGTCTTGGTAAGGAGGTGTTGGTGAAAAAGATACTTGCAAATCGCTGCTAGTCAAAAACTTGATAATATCAGACTCTATCAATCTAATTAACTAGTCATTCCTTGATAGTCAATCTTTAGCCTCAACAGATACATCATCACGGAAGTACTATTTGCTACTAGTTCAGAAGCAAATCAACCTGCTCGCACTTTTCGATTCTCATTTCCCTCCAATAAGCCCAAGAATAATTGTTCCGTAGAGAGGACAGACCGTTCCAGCCCTTTCTCATGGAGTCATTTTGTGGATATCCCTTACCCCACGAATCACCTCATATTACTGGCCGGGTGTATATTCTCCCTGACACTATGTCCCACCAAGTCTAAAACAAACGGACTCTCCAGGAGCAGTCCGTCCTAGCTTGAATTAAATCACTCGGATCATCTGTTTCGGTGCACGGGAAACAGTTCGGATTTGTCCAAGCGGTATTCCGATGTCTCCCCCACTTCCCCGGACGCCACCCCCGGATTGTCCCCCTCCCCGACATTTGCACAGACTAAAGCTTATTCGCACAAAAGGCGCTGCAAGCCAACACTGTTTGCTCACGTTCGCCTCTCCGCTTTGAGGGGCGCCGACAACCATCGCCGGCCCGGTGAATTGGCTTAGGAGGGTCCACGTCTCTTCATTGTTTACTTCCTTTCCCTGAAAACCCCTAGGCTGGTATTAATCCCGTTCCAACCTCCAGGTTCTTCCCTCGTCAGCTATCCTCCTTCTTGTTTATATCACTATTTACCATGGCCGATACTAGCCTCAAGACGACGGAGACGATCGAGCATGTCGAGGACAGTCAGTCTCGCGGCCCATTTCATCTACGCAACCTCGGCCATGTTCGCCTGCGCCATGAGCACACCAACGAGATTATCTTGACTCCAGCTCCCTCACTAGACCCCAATGATCCCCTTCGCTGGTCGACTGCCTACAAGATCTATATCGCCATTCTCGTCTCCCTAGCCATGGTCATGTGTAATTTCATGGCTGCCGGTCCTACAGTCGCAATGATTGCAATTGCGACGGACTTCAAGGATGGGGGAAACACAACGATGAGTGACTGGATCAGTCGGGCCGCGTACTTTTTTAACAACAGCGCTCTGATGCAGGGCGTCTCGTGTCTCTTCTGGGTGCCGCTGCTTAACAAATACGGCCGGCGGCCAGTCTACATCTCTGCTTTCATTCTCTACTTCTTCATGATACTTGGAGCCGGTTTGGCAAAGACGTATGCAGGCGAGATCACGACCCGGACGATCCTAGGTATCGGGGCGGGTGCCGGCGAGTGCCTGGCGCCTGTTACCATTGCCGATGTGTTCTACCTTCACCAGCGAGGTTATGGCATGGCGTGAGTGTTCTTATCCTGCTGTGGATTCGGCGCTCAAAGAAGCTGACGGCCCGTTTAACCAGCATATACAACGCGGCCTTGAGTGCCGGAGTCGCCTTCGGTATCATCATCTCGGGACTGGTCACGATCAAGCACGACTGGCGGACCATCTACTGGGTGGGATGCGCTCTAGTCGGAGCTCTGACCGTTGTGGTCGTCTTCTTTTTCCCAGAGACTGCCTACCGGCGTGTTGGAAACCCCTTGGTGGAACGCACCGTCGAGATCCAAAAACTGTCTGACAGCAACAACCTGGAAGTCGCGTCAGTCCCTCCCATCCCTCCCAAGATGAGCTACCTGCGTAGTCTGCGCTTCTGGTCTAGTGAGACCTATACCGACGAGTCCTTCTGGCGGATGTTCGTGCGTCCCTTTGGGCTGATCCTCATCCCACCTATCTTCTGGGCTACCATCGTCATGTCGGTGACTATCGGGTTCCTGGTGGCTGTTGTCTCCAATTTCGCCTCGGCGTTCAGTACAACCTACGGCTTTGAGGCCTGGCAGTCTGGTTTGTGTTTCATCGCTGGCATGATAGGTTGTTTCCTGGGTACATTCGCCGGTGGTCCGTTTTCCGACTGGGTGGCGGATTACTTTACCAAGCGCAATGGAGGGATCCGTGAGCCTGAGATGCGATTGCCCGCGATTATCCCAAGTGTGATCGCCGCGCCTCTTTCCCTGGTGCTGTACGGATGTGGTATCGCCAATGGCTGGCACTGGATGGTCCCTACCGTTGGCTTGGGCTTGTGTATGTTTATCCTGTCATTTCTTTTGTTCAAATCACCCAGCTGACACATCGTCATGTAGTGTCTTTCGCCATCACCCAGGGCACGAATGTCTCCTTCGTCTACTGTATTGACTCCTTCCGTCCAGTCGCCGGTGAAGTGACGGTCACCCAGCTTGCTTTCAAGTGTGAGTGTTCTTTACCTCCATTGCGGTTATTTTCTCCGCTAACAGCCGCAGCTTGCTTTGGATTCCTGCTTTCCTTCTATACCAATCCGTGGATCAATGAGTCCGGCTATATTGCTGCCTATGGCGCTATGGCGGGCATCTCAGGCGGCTGTCTACTCTTCTTCATCCCACTATTTTTCTGGGGCAAGTCTATCCGACAGGCCTCTATGAAGTGGTCGCTTGTTCAGTTTGTATTCTGGAAGGATGATCGTGAAGTGGGAGAGTAGTCGAAACAGGGGTAACTGAGATTCGCGATGATTCAATCTGTTGAACTTGTTTGAAGCCAATGGGGAAATTGATTATTGGATACCTATTATATGCGACTTCTATCGATCATGGAACTCTCATCACAGAATCACTGCTTCTGGGGATGGTTGTATCTGAAGATTTAACAGCTACAAAACTGTTTCAAGACGAAGTCTTATTTATATTAAATCTATCCTGCTACGTAACGAATGAATAAATGAAGCAGAGGTCCACTGCATTAATCCAGGCCCCTCTTTGGTCGTGGGTGACAATTTATCCGATGTTATGTAAAGCGCATCATGATATGTACCAAGTCTGATACTATTAAGGGC